TTCCTGGGAAGTATGCTTCAGAATAAAAGTCCAGTTATTTTTATTTTTTTAAACCTTTTTTATTGATTATGATGATTTTGAATCTTCGCCAGCATTTTCTATTATTAACATGTTAGATTTCTGCTCTGAAAAACTACACATAAACCAGTTATTCTGTCTTTGTGTTTCTTTCCTGTCAAACCCAGCCAGTCAAGGCAGATGACGGCCCATTCTGAGCCTGGTTCTGCAGGAGGTTTTGTTCCTCCTAAAATGAAGCTGATCCTTTCTTCTGTCACCAATGTGCTGCTCACGATGGGGACTGATTTAGTGCCAGATAAAAAGCTAAAAACGTGCCTATAGCACCAACAAGGTCACACTTACCAAGTGTCTGAGACAAACTCCAGAAAAGGTTGTATCTTGACTGAGGTACACTGCAGACACCACATGTTGGCCTCTGAGCCCCAACACCAAACCCATTACCCTGCTGATGTTTGTTACTCCGTTTCTGAGTTTATTGTTCCATCAGGTCTCATCTGAACTGCCCTTTTCTGACATCTGTCTGGCCTCTCTTCAGACCTCCAAGGGAGGCGTTCACAGGAAGCGTGAGGAAACTTCCTCCACAGGAAACTGGGTCATGTGGCTGTGGAAGCGCTGAAGTCCCATGGACCTGAGGGGGTCTCAAACAGGATGGGGCTTAAAATAAAAAGGAAAGAGACACAAAGATCTCTGGCAAATTTTATTATTAACACAAGAACAACAAAAAGGAAATAGTTTTATCTGATGAAGCTGAGGAGACAGCTGCAGTAATGTGATCTTTAACTCAGTCCAGCTGTCCTCAGACATCTGCTTTCAGCTTCATATGAAAAACATACAGGAGATGATTAATATCCCAGCTCCACTATTGGTCGAAGACATAAAAAGTGTACAGGAAATAACATTATGATTGTGGTCTTTTGGCTTCAGCCAAACTCTCCTTTAAACGAACATCCAGGTTAAAAAAAGAATATTTGACTCTTCCAGCTTTATGCTAATATTTAGAGTGATCTCCACACTCAACATCTCACATTCCCTGCCCTGCCTCTCTGGCTCAGTAGGGAAGATCTGCATTTAATGGTGACATCATTGCACAAACAATGAATGTGCACAATGGTGAAAACTCAGTTCCATAACTGGAAGGAAAGTAAACAGGAAATTTTATTAAGAGCAATTTTCGGGGTAACATTTAAGGTAGTCAAATGTACTGTTATAAAATGAAAATTAATTATTTATTACAGTGCACTCCACAGTGCTGAAGCTACTGACAAACAAACCTGCTCAGTACAGGCAAACATCCTTTTTTCTTCTGTTATGATGGAAGGTAGACTTGAGAATATACCCAAGCAAATAAATAATCAGGATATTTGTGTTTCTGTGAAAAGCAGACAGTTTATAACTTCATTTTAAAAACGTGGATTCTCTGGATCTGGTTCATTTTGAATGAAGCAGCTTTTCAACCAAATCGGGCGTCACACGTATGAGTCATTCCAACACATAAAGTATTTATATTTTATATTTACTCCTAACTCAAGTGGACACATTTAGCATACTGACTTTAGAAAATCAATTATATAACTGATGTAGAGAGGCGGCAGCATCAGTGGCTCCTGTGGTAAAATCCTGAACTTGGTTTAACACAGTCCTGAAGTGGTACCTATTCTTAATTACCCACAAGCCAGTGGGGCTGGACCAAAAGTGTGAACTGAACACAAGATGAATCATCAGAAGCTTGGTTAGGGTTAGGGTTATGGCATTTTGACTCTACCAAAAACTAGCTCCTCTGATGAGTTTATAATTTATTGTATGAATGCTGACTCAGCATAATGGGCTGTCATTGACAGGCTTTGTGAAACGTGGGATGGAATTTTATAGAAGAAGGTAAGTTTTACCGCAGAGGCACTGATGATGTGTTTGATGGGAAGGGGGCCGATGAACCGTGGAGCCAACTTCTTGGGAATGTCCTTCAAATTTATGTCCCGAGTGATCAGCCAGACCCTTTGTCCAACCACTTACTTAGGGGCTAAGAAACGTTGTCTTTCAGCAAACCTCTTGTTCTGTTCAAACGTCATCATGAGACCCTTCTTAGTCTGGTGCCACAATCAACAACACCTCCTGAGGTGATGCTGGACAGAATAGACTAACATCCCTTTCAATATTAGGGAAGAGAGGTAGAGTATGGCCGAGAGACGCAAAACGGGACAGACCAGTGGCAGTGGAGGTATGCGTATTATGTGCATATTTGACCCAAATGATGTGTTTCCTCCATGAAGAGGGATTGTTATTAAGGATGCACCTGAGAGCTCTTGGTTACAGTGTTCAGTCTGACCGTTAGACTGTGGATAGTACCCAGAGGACAGGTTGGAGTTTGCTCCCAGGGCACTGCAAAAGGTCAGACCTGTGAAATAAATTGGGGTCCACGTTCAGAAACAATATCCAGCGGGATTCTGTGAATCCTGAAAACCTGATTTATAAGGACTTAAATAGTCTCAAAAGCTGAAGGTAACTTAGGCAAAGGGACAAAATGAACAGCCTTGGAGAACCGGTCCAATGACTGTGTGTTGCCTTCAGATGGAAGCAAGCCAGTGACAAAGTACAAAGAGATGTGACCAAAGTCTACCTTTGGTCACATCTCTTCAACCATTGCCTAATGGGCAATGGTTGAAGGAGACCAGCTGAGAGTTGATTGTTGTTCTTATTACGGGCACAGGTGGGACAGGCGTGAACAAACTCTCAAATGTCTTGACATAGGGTCGGCCACCAAAAATATCTTTTAGTACAGCATTTGAGTGATCCCAGGATGGCAAGTGAATCAGTGATAATGAATCCAATCCAGTACTCTCCCCAAACTTTTTACATGCAGGTCTGGTTCCTGGGTCAAGTTCTTGGACTTGGGCTTCTTAAATTTCCTTCTCGATCCCCCAGGTGAGTGTCCCCATGAAACAGGAAGAAGGGATGACATGGGCTTCAGTCTTGGAGCTGTCAGACACAGAAAACTGGCGAGAGAGGGTGTCAGGCTTCACATTCTTAGAACCAGGTCTGTAGGTTTTGGTGAAAACATGTAAAAAATAGCAACCAACTGACTTGACATGGGTTTAATCTTTTGACAGTTTAAAGGTAAGAAAGGTTTTTGTTATCTGTCCAAATGTCCGTACCTTCAAGCCAATGACACCACTCCTCGAGAGCTACTTTGATAGCGAGCAACTCACAATCTACGACATCACCATTTTGTTTCTTCTAACAAGCCTTTTGCTACTTTCAGATTTTAGGTCTGCGACTTTTAGCTAACATTTAGCTACTTTCAGCATTTAGCTACTGTTTTGCTACTTTTAGCTAACATTCAGCTACTTTCAGCATTTAGCTACTGTTCTGCTACTTTTTACAGGTGTGTAGATCTGCCACCAGACAAAATGACTGTTGAGCTATGAGTCTTACAGAGGTATGTAAAGAACTTAAATGAAATAACTAAGCAAAAATAAAAATACCTTCAGACTTTGGTAAAAAAAATAAAACTATTCCACTAATAAGAAAAGTACTTATGTAAAAGTCATAAAATTGCTCAGACTCATTAGTAAAGTAAAAGTACTTTAAAGGAATGAATGACATGTTGATTTTACTGGATCAACTGGATCCACTAAACCCAGCTGAATAAATTACATTTACTCAAAGCACTTTAGTGGAACCAGTTGACCTAACTTGGTAACAAGGTGAAGGAAATTTTGTGTGTGCGGCTCAGTCTCCATTTTCTCCACCACGCTTTCTTCCATCAAGACAATCAAATGTTCATGAAAGTGATGTCACACCATAAAATTGTAACACGACATAATGACAGTTTCTTTTTTTTACATAATGCAGCTCAACAATAATTTTGTGATGTGACTCTATACTTCTGTGACTTTTAGCTACCATTTTTCTACTTCTACATTTCCTGTTGCTTTATAGGGTTCAGCTCAACTTTGGCTCATTTTAGCTACTGTTTGGCAAATCATATTACCAGGATTTATTTATTTTGTACTATAAATGCTCTTATGCTCTTCACAGATGAGCATGACAGTGACCCCTCCTGGAGTGTGGATGTGTTCTCATCATGTTTGCTTCACAATAAAACACAGATTTCTTACCAAGTGTTGAAATAAACTCAGTCCTGTGGACCAGCACAATAAACTGAAACTAAACTCTTTTTAAGGTAAGTTTCTCACATGAACATGAAATGTGAGCGCCCTCAAACTTTTTAACTGCATGGAGGACTTTAAATTTGTAGACTTTTCTGAGGCACTCAGCTTAATGCCACATTATCCATCCAAACTGAAAACTCTGCTTCTACCAACCGATCTGTCCTCTGAGATAAAATTACATCCAGCAAAATGTCACAAACCGCAAAACTTAACCAGTGGTAGATGTACACCCAAAGATTATTTTCTTGGAAATTTCAATGAAATCACTCCACTGGTACAAGAAACGGTTAAAAAAGGGTTGAGTCCAACCATTAAAGCTACAGTTCTAGCTATGCTAAAAGCCAGAGGAGTGAGCGCTCAGGAGCCTAGCTCCTCCTGACGACACTGTAGGTCAGCAGAAAGGAGCCTGATGATGTAACAAACTATTTTTAGCTCAGTTTAAAGGATCAATAAGGATTCATCACACTGGAGCCTCGTGCTCAGTGAAACACCAATCAGAGGCCAGCAGCAGAAACAACAAGTCCGTTTGGAAAAGCTGCTTAGAGGATGCAGCAGCCTCTGCATGGAGTGTGTGTGTGTGTGTGTGTGTGGGGGGGGGGGGGGTAACATGACCAGAGAGGGAAGATATAACAACAACAGTCTGCTGCTTCAGCCCTAATTTCAGCCTCTGAGGACACAAACATCAGCTGCCATGACAACATTTTGTAGGCTGCTTCCTTCACTCTTCTTAAACACAGGAGGAAAGTTTCCGCTGACATCACAGACCTAAAACATGACACAGCAAAAACAGAGGAGCGACAGCAGAAACCCTACCGGCACAGAGAGAGTAGACCCGACTCCAGCAGACCCTGTCATAGGAGCACATCCTCCACACTGACCTCCTGTGCCCCCCACCACCAGCAGCACCAGCAGCAGCACTGCTCCTGTCAGCCTCCTCTGTCGGTCTGTCTGTTGGTCCAGCCTCCCTCTCAGAGGGGAGGGTGTCCAGCCTGCTGCAGAGCTAAGTCGTTGCTGTTTGCTGGCAGCACTGCAAGGTCAGAGAAGAAGACAGCATACTGCCTTTCAGTACCACCCCCCCCCCCCACCACCACACTCTGATGGCCTGCAGGATGCAGACCTTCACTTCTCCTCTGAACTTTTCAGCTAATTTTGCTGGTTTTGCCTCTTAGCTGCTGTTTTGCAGATTTTAGCTTCTAGCTACTGTTCTGTTAGTTTTACATTTTTGTTCAAAGATTTTTAGTGATCCTCAGAACCTTCAAATATGGTCGGTCAGAAAACAGTGACCTGTCCTTTCCAGGTTGGGGGTGAAGTTCTGCCTCAAGTGGAGGAGTTCAGGTTCAGGTATCGGTGTTTTGTTTACTGTGAGGGAAGAATGGAGCGTGAGACTGATAGACGGATCAGTGCAGCTTCTGCAGTTTTACAGACTCTGTATTGGTCTGTTGTGGTTCTGAGGGAGCTGAGCTGTAAGGCAAAGCTCTCTGTTTACTGATCAGTCTACGTTCCTAGCCTCACCCATACATGTCAACTTATACAGATTGTCCGTAAGTTATACAGATTTTACATCATTTTGCAGGTATACGGACGCACAGAGCAATCTCTCAATTTTTTCAAGTCTTATGGATTTTTTCAAAACCTCATTTTCAAATTTATCTAACATGTCAGAGCCTGTAGGATGATTTATAAAACAATAAATAACATCAAACGGCCATCTTCCAACCTGTTCGGCTGCTAGAAATAAGCTTAGAACTTTTTCCGCTCTCCTTTCATTGTTTGTTTTTCAATAGGTTTGACTCTGGCCCATTG